ATTAACTTACCCTAGAATTTTGCACACGTCAAATTCGGCACTTCAACTTCATTATATAAAAAAATTAGACATTTCTGTCGTAACTCGATTTACTAAAGAACCACCTTAATAAGAAAAATAAATTCCTAATGTTAACAAATTAAAATGTAACATTAAAAGCAAAAATGGTGAAGATGTTAAAATTAAAACTGAAGATGTTAAAATTAAAAAGGAAGATGATAAAGATAAAGGAAAACAAGGTGACAGCTTATATTAGATTTATTAGAGCTTGAAATGCGAGCTTTCGCAATAACAATTTAATGTATAACAAATGTATTTTTAAATAGATTTTTATATAGACATTTTCTAAATATTATACAGACAAATGTACATTGCTATATGCTACATAAAATGATATTTGAAAATAATAAAATTTTTAGTTACAAGAAATTCTTGGTTTATTACATAGTTACTATTAACTTTGCTATATCATATAATAAAAGTCATTATTTATATTTATAAAGGACATCGATATTTTTTTTAATTCTTGGCATAATGATGATTTATATTGAAAAAGTGAGAGTACATACATGTAATATTATACTTTAAATTCGTGTACTATATATGTGCCTTTTTTCAAATCCATGTGATAAGCATTTGAAGGATTAAAGATTTGAATCAAATATTGTGTTAATTTACAAGATGTGTAATTATAATTCAAGAAAATATTTCAAACATCATTACTTTATACAAAAAAATTCATTTTAATTGTTTAATTGTTCTTCAATAATATCCCTGGCATATACTTCAATTTTTTCAATAATTTGCTCTCGCCACTCTGAAATCTTCTGAGTTATTAGGTCGGAAATGAAACTACCGAGTGATCCTAAACCAGTCATTTCTATGTTGATTTTGCCAAATTCCATCACTTGGACGTATCGTACCCTGCATGCGTGCATTGTATCATTAATCATTAATAGTTCTATCACTGTTTCTAATCCTAATGCATCAACAGTTACAAGTACATCACCATCGATTGTGATTAAACCACCTGTAAGCTATATATTAAGACAAGTATTAATTTTGAAAAGAGTTGAACGTTTTTATGCTTAATATTTTGTAATCGTTAATATCTAATAATCTATGAATTTACCTCGTAGTAATTATACTTAAGTTCAGCTATAGGAAGTCTAAAGCCAGCTTTTATGATATATATTTGTCTTTTGTTACATATATTACATGTTTTGTTACATGTAATTACATCCATTCCGTTCCATTCCGTTCTTCTCAGAGTCGAAGTATCTCTAAAAAGTTAATTATCTTGCTAAAGTAGTTTATTCAATATTATTGTACAAAAAATATACATTAATTTTCTGGATTGTATTATGTATATTAAATAACAGTGCTTACTCGACGGCTCTATATGTATTATACACTTTGAAATAACATATGATTCCAAGTCCTATGTCGTATTTTTCCGTTAAAATAGGAATTTCAATTATAGATTTTTTGTTTTGCTTTATATAGTTTGTCGCTCTTTTGAGAAGAATATCCATAGGTACGCTCATGTTGATCTACACATAAAAATTTAGATTATTATAAATAAAATATAATTTATAAAGTTAATAATATTCTTTAGCACAAGAGAGCATAAAAAAATAATCATTTTTTTCACAATCCTATATTAGCTAAAAAAATATCCTAGATTTAGGGTCGAAACGTCAGAGG